ATGCGCAGCAGCAAGAAGGTTTCGGTCATCCCTTGAGGGTGAGTCTAGCCCTGCCCGCCAGAAAGACCCCCCCCTTCACTACAACCCATGTCTAAGCAAAAGCTTGTCGAGGAGCGAGGGGAAAAAGCACACAAATGACAGTACAAAAACATAATGGTTCGGGAACCCGTTCAAAAGTATTTTTCGCCGCATTCCCGACCGATGTGGGTTTTGTACACCTCGGCAATCGATTCCGCTTGGCCGACTTAGGGGGGGTAGAGCCACTTAGAAAGTTGATCAGACAAAAACTGAAGTGCGCGCGGGTTCAAACATGAGTGCAGCCGAAGCTGGGCCAGCGGCAGCTGTGTCAAAGCCAGGCAATGTTACTATACCCATGTATGTGTGTTGAAGATGATGGTATCACTTGTATTTAGGACAGCAGACACGATCAGGACGCGGCGGGAGAGAGAGAGTGCCACGACACAGCAAGCACTCCCGCAGGGTCGAGTCCCGTGGATCAACCATGAAACCAACCCAGGGGACTATCAATTCCTATCTGCGTAGCCACTTCCTACAGTCCCGTTGGAATATTCTCATCCGCTCATGCACACACGAACACCCTCCCTGGTTCTTTACGCTAGTGACTAACCACTTCGTGGGCATTCACACGCCGGATGTGACCAAAAAACCAAACGGACAAAAAACCAACGAAAACAGAACGACAGGGGGAAACCCAGCCTCCGGGACAAAACCCCCACCAATATTCACCGTTCCATCAAACGCCCTATCCCAACGCTTGGCAAGCAGTAAAAGTGCAAGACTATCCTGAGGAGTTGGTTCAAACAACTACAATGCGGCTGCACTACTGTTTGTTCTTCAAACAAACATCAGACAAACATCGAAATCGCCCCCCCTCGCTGATGAAATACAGCGCACCAGGGCGGGAGGCAATCATCCAACTTTTTCTGAGCGACACATATCCGGCANTATCGAAATTGCCCCCCCTCGCTGATGAAATACAGCGCACCAGGGCGGGAGGCAATCATCCAACTTTTTCTGAGCGACACATATCCGGCATGCATTTTTCGGCAATCCTCTATTCTCGTGGAGTACAACACTGGTGTCCCAATTTTTCCTCCTACGTTCCTTCAGCGGTTCGAACAGTATCCCATATTCCTGCACATTGCGCAACCTAGAGAAAGGCACCACGTAGCCGCAATCAATGAGGGTCTCAACCGAATGACTATCAGGAAATACTGAACATGTGGGCGCGAACGCCTACGAGAAACACGGAGCACCGTCCCTGGCTCTTCAACCAAAGTACAGTCATGACAGCTCACGAGGATTTACCAACTTCGCGACGAATACCATCAAACACCAAATACCGTCAAGAAAGAAGTACCACAATCCAGCGCTGTGATGCGTGTTCCTCCCCTCCCAGCGCTCGTCCCGGCCTGTAGCCTCGCCACAAAGGGAGTTCCCGTTTTAGCACCACGATGCAAGTACCCTACCCCCACGCGCCTTCCGACGTGCCGCGGGGTTCCCGCTCTCGCCCCTTCCGATGCGCCACGGGGATGCTTCGATTTTCTCTCCCCCTCACGCTCCGTCCGACGCGCCATGGGGCTAATGTTTGCCTCCCCCCCACGCCCTCCCGACGCGCTATGGGGCTGCATTGATTGTCGCCCTCCCGCGCCCCTCCCGTCGCAGCTGCGAGCACACGGCCCTCCCGCCGTGTTATTTGGTTGTTGCCCTCCCGCGCCCCTCCCGTCGCGGCTGCGAGCACACGGCCCTACCGCCGTGTTATTTAGTTGTTGCCCTCCCGCGCCCCTCCCGTCGCGGCTGTGGGCACACGGCCCTACCGCCGTGTTCTCTGAATGTTGCCCCCCCACGCCCCTCCCGTCGCGGCTATGGGCGCACGGCCATCTCGCCGTATCCTTCTCAATATTGCCCCCCCCACGCCCCTTCCGTCGCGGCCATGGGGCACACGGCCTTGCGGCCGGTTTTCTGTGTCTCCACCCTTCCACGCTGTTGCAATGGTGCTATCTTCACCATCTCCTACTGCTGCTGTGTGTGGATGGTGCGCGCGTAGTGACCAGCGCGGATATTGTGTCTTTCCCCCGCCTCTTCTTACAAGGCCTCACGTGCCACATCCAGCTCCTCGTCATCGCTCGCCACCGCAACCGCCATGACCGCCGTCTCGCCCTTCGCCTCCTCCTCGTCCTTCGCCGACGGGCACTTGCTCTTATCGTGTCCATACCCGTCGCAGTTCTCGCACTGGGTCATGAAGTCGGCGATGGGGGTAGTGCACGAGAACGACTGGTGCCCTCGCCTCTTGCACCGGTAGCACCGGCCCCTACGACGGCCGCCGTAGCTGCTGCCGTCTCCACCGCCGTTGCCGTTGCCGTTGCCGCTGCCGCCATTTTCGCCGTTTCCGCCACCGCCGCGTCCCCCGCGGCCGCGGTTGCGACCAGCTTTTCCGCCGCTGCCATTGTCGGCGCTCACGAGTAATCCCTGCTCAGACGCCTTGTGATTGTTGCGGTTGCTGTTCCGATGGCTCTTCCCCTGCTTGATGCTGGAGTGCTGGGAGCCCACCACTCTGATGACCTCTCCCCGGTCCAGAGTCGGTGCGGACTGCAGAGTCAGTTTGGCATGGTCGTACTCGGCCGGTAGGGCCGAAAGGAAGAGCGACAGCACGTAAGAAGCCTCGCCCCTGACCCCTCTCTCGTTCAGACGACTTGCGAGTTGGTCCATGGCGATAAGCGATTCAGTCGGGTTTTGTCGGCCGGCATTGCGAAGTTCTGAAACTTGCTGAGCAACTCCTGTGTTGCTACCTGCGATTCCGGGTTGTGCACCTTGTCGAGTTCATCCAACGCCTGCTTCGGCGTCACACATCTCCCGAAGACGGCCTTGTCTGGCTCCCTCACCAGGGCCGAGGACAGAAAGTGGAAAGCTTGGAGGCTGCGGTGGATCTGCGCCTCGGAGTACCCCTCTGCCAGCAAAGTAGCTTTGGGTTTGTTCATGTCCCCGACGTCCGGCTGGGGTTCCGTGGCCCCTACGAACTGGCCGTCCATGTCTACTGTTTTAGCTGCCTGGATAAAGGCCCTCCTCCACGAGTAATATCCCTGGCCGCCTTCGAGACGCGGTGCGTGCACTGACACACGCATTTTGCTATACGGGTTCTGGTGAAAACCATCTCCTTCTCCGACGAATGCGCCAAAACCACCGGTACCGCCGCCATATGTCTCGGTTGTCTCACCTTGGGGGAGCGATCCCCTGTCACGTCCGCCACCCATCCCAACCGCCGGGTCTGAGGGTGGCGTGATTCCCTCGTTTTGCGGTGCCCCCTCCTGGGTACCGCGGGTGGGCGCATCGCCCGTAACGACAGCGCCCACCCCAGCGCCGCCGGACTCCCCCTCCTTCTCTAACTATCCGAGGGCGGATCGAAGCAGCCCTGCCAGCTGCTGTACCTCGTCCGTCAGGCCTGAAACTTTGCTCTCCAAGTTATCAACTCTGCCCTGCGTACTAGTGGTGACGTCGGCAGCCTCTGCTGCACCATCGGCGCCACTCATCTCCAGCACGGGTTCCCTCGCGGGATACACTCTAGAGTGTTACTATACCCATGAATGTGTGTTGAAGATGATGGTATCACTTGTATTTAGGACAGCAGACACGATCAGGACGCGGCGGGAGAGAGAGAGTGCCACAACACAGCAAGCACTCCCGCAGGGTCGAGTCCCGTGGATCAACCATAAAACCAACCCAGGGGACTATCAATTCCTATCTGCGTAGCCATTTCCTACAGTCCCGTTGGAATATTCTCATCTGCTCATGCACACACGAACAGGCAAGTGTGAGCGCATGCTTTCGCTGGGAAACCAGACGCACGTCATACAGCACGAGTGGAGACCGGAAAACGCCGCGGAGAGGTGCTGCTGATCACAACTCTCGTCGACAAGAAGAGCCCCAACAGGTCTTCGAACAAGCAACAGGTCTTTGTTGCCAACACCGAAGAACGTGTAGCCTCAAAAGTCTTAGAAGAGATGGCTCATAGGCTTCTCAAGAACAAGCGCGAAAGGTGGGAGAAGGCTCACGGGCGTACCGGTGGCAGCAGCAGCAGCGGCGGTGGNTAGGCTTCTGAAGAACAAGCGCGAAAGGTGGGAGAAGGCTCAAGGGCATTCCGGTGGCAGCAGCAGCAGCGGCGGTGGCGCTAGGAGGAATGCCGACAGAGAGGTAGCC